AACTATGTACGAGTAACTTGTACTTAAACAGGGTGATTTAATTAGTTAAATACTACACTATGAGTGGCCTTTTTCTTTTATTCCTTCTCTAAATATTGGATGGGAGTCTTCTTTTAGGACCTTTTTCAGATCTTTGTGGGGAGGATTGATATCCATCTGGATGAGGGTTGCTGGTTCCATGATCTACACATATCCATCTCCCATTTGAGTTGCCTATATTGTAAGCTCCAAGGAGCAGGGCCCTCCTTTCTAGGGGTGGACTGACCATTTGGAAACTTGGGCACTGCCCGAGGGCCCGGGGTCAGTAGGGGGCCCCATGAGATGCCCCTGGTACCTTTTTCATAGGCTTTTTTGAGTTTGGGCAAGGACACTGGGGCCCCATTATACCCTACTGCCCGGGGGCCCCATGAGTTGTCAGTCCACCCCTGGTCCTTTCCCTCTTGTATTGAACTGTATTGTTGCTGTATTGTCTCCCGTTATATTGTAAAGCGCTGAGCAAACTGTTGGCGCTATATAAATCCTGTATAATAATAATAATAATATATAAATCCTGTATAATAATAATAATATATAAAATCCTGTATAATAATAATAATATATAAATCCTGTATAATAATAATAATAATATATAAATCCTGTATAATAATAATATATCAATTCTGTATAATAATAATATATAAATCCTGTATAATAATAATAATATATAAATCCTGTATAATAATAATAATAATAATATATAAATCCTGTATAATAATAAATTCTGTATAATAATAATAATATATTGACCGGTGTGTTTCGGTCAGAGTTTCTGGTGGAAGGCTGAACCATTCGGGTGTCCTGGTGATGGTGGATCGTGGGAATTGTGACTTTTTAACTAGAACTTTTTTTGATTTATTGGACTTTATGTTTTTTTTTTATTAGGGCTGCAATTTTATTTTTATTTACTATTATGTTTATTGCCTGATGTGCGAGCTGCTTTTCTGTCATTTTTTAAGATTAGTTTATTTACCCAAGCACAGGTTATTTGTTTTTGATTGCATAGGTGTGAATACCAATGCGATCTGATTCTAGTGTGGACTCAAAAAAACGGGTCCTGCACGTTTCTGGTGCTGGTGCAGTGCGAATAGAGCCATGGCTCCAATCGCCCCACATACAAATCACATGTGATTTGCACAGGAATGCGGTGCAGTTCCTGTGCGAATCACATGCGATATACCTCACCACATATATGTGAACCCGGGCTTAGTGATTTTTTTGCTCTGTGGTCATGGTTGGTGGATACATTTTTTTCACGCCATGTATGGGTGGTTGGTGTGTTTTATTTCTTTTATTTATCTAAAGTGATGGCCATGTGTCAGAGGATGGGCCCACTGAAAATGACCCTTTTTACTTCTTAGAAATTCTGGAGACAGCTTGTGTCAGCACTGACAGCTGACGGGAAACAAGGGCGCTGGAGGAACGCCAAAACCGCTTTTCGAATTCTGCACAGTCCGTCAGATCCCATTCCTGCCATGTAATCCCGTATCGCTTTCTTACCCACCGCTGTGTCGCGCAGAGCGTGCCAAGAGTAAGGATTTCACGAGAAGCTGACAAACAGCCTTTCTTGGCGAGGGCGGGCTGTCTGCACACGGCAATGACTGTGGACGGGACGCTCAGAGGATCTTAGTTGTTGCAGGCATGGTTGTGGCGGGGCCCCGTTCACTTGAAGCAGTACTGCCACTGGATTTGAATCTTTGCAGGATCTGACAAAGCACCGCACCTAACTGCATGCTGCTGCAGCACATGTGCATTTGCAGATTTGTGAGAGTGCACTTAACTAAGGACACATTTGCTAAATGGCAGCGCATTTCTCTGCATGTCAGGAAATCATGTGATTTTGCATGCATTTCTGACATGCAGTCTGAACTAAGCCTTAGGCTAGTTTTGCATCTCTGTGTCTAGGGAATGTGCGCAAAATCACACGCGTTACCAACCCGCAGAGAAACACATTGCGCTTTAGCAGACATCAGGGGTGGACTGACCATTTGGAAACTCGGGCACTGCCCGATGGCCCAGGGTCAGTAGGGGGCCCCATGAGATGCCCCTGGTACCTTTTTCATAGGCTTTTTTGAGTTTGGGCAAGGACACAGGGGCCCCATGATCCCCTATTGCCGGGGGGCCCCATGAGTTGTCAGTCCACCCCTGGCAGACATGCAGGGGTGCTATTAATTCTTAACCTCCCTGGCGGTATTCCCGAGTGTAGCTTGGGGTAAAGTTTCAGTATCAAAAGCGGTAACCCCGAGATACACTCAGGCTTACCATGCGGTGCTGCTCCGCGATCCCTCGATCACTTACTTTGTCCTGCGCTCCCGCGATGTCCCTCCTGCAGTGTCCCCGACAATGTCCTCCGGCGGATGCCGGCATTTGTCTTCCGGGTTCCGTTCCCTGCGATGTCGGGATGTACGGGGGACGGAACTGGCGGGAAATTTGAAAATGACAAAAAGTGACATTCACTAAAATCATTAAAATCACATAGTAAAACATGGTGGTAGGCTGAACTGTGCGGAATTTGCAGGGTTTTCTGTGTGAATTCTGCACCGCATCAGAATCACACTCCGTTTATGCGATCCGCTGCGGGTGTGTAGGTTAAGTTTACAACACCTCGAAATCAGTCAGCAAAACGTGGTGCGATGTTCAGAATCGGATCGCATAGGTGTGAATACTCAAAGGATCTGATTCTAGTGTGGACCAATAAAAGGGTCCTGCACAGGGGCGGACTGACAACTCATGGGGCACCCGGGCAATAGGGGATCATGGGGCCCCTGTGTCCTTGCCCAAACTCAAAAAAGCCTATGAAAAAGGTACCAGGGGCATCTCATGGGGCCCCCTACTGACTCCGGGCCCTCGGGCAGTGCCCAAGTTTCTAAATGGTCAGTCCGCCCCTGGTCCTGCACATTTTTGGTGCTGATGCGGTGCGATTAGAGTCATACAAAATGTATGGGGTTCCTGGGCGAATCACATGCAATATGTTGCACAAGTGCGAACTCATGCTAAGGAATGGTACACCATGATAAGTTATTGCTTCAGCCCGGCTAACGACCCCCCCAGAGCCGAGGCTAACGACCCCCCCAGAGCCGAGGCTAACGACCCCCCCCCAGAGCCGAGGCGAAGATGCTTATTAATATTGTTACCGCCATCCTCCATGTTACATTCCAGAAATAAAAGTGGAGGAGACAAATACCAGGTCAGTGCCCCCTTCGCCGACGATTCATCCAATAAATAATATATAGATAGATGTGATCGGTACATGGAACGCTGGTCACGGCTCTGCGTGGGCGTGAAGAGATGTACAATCCAATCGTTTTAGACTTTTAGCCTAAGGCAAAGACTTCTGGAGGAAACGTGTAACAAGTCCTCGTCCTGGAAGTGTCACAATGAATGTCACATTAATAGAAAACCAGAAAAAATTAGTAAAAGCGACTACGGCACTCCATTTCTATTCATTGGCGGGGAAACTACAAGTCCAGCCAGTGGCACGGCCTTTTTTAGCGTTGTGTGATCATGTGTGATTCATATTTATACAAAACCAAAAGCCTAAAAATAACAAGATTAAAAAAAAAAAAAAATATATTTTTCTGCAATATTCATCTTCAATACAGAAATGTCCCCTATAGTACTTTTTTCTAGAGCACAGGTGTCAAACATAAGGCTCGAAGGCCGAATCCGGCTATCCAGGCTATGTCATGTGGCCCTCAGACCTCCCCTGCAGTTGTGGTACCCCCCTCATTTCCACCTTGTTTCAGCAGTCGGCAGAAGGGAGGAGGACAGAACTCCTCCACCAGATCCTGCACTTCTCCATGCACCCATCCCTGGTCTCAGCAGTTGGCAGCAGAGAGGAGGACAGAACTTCTCCTACAGATCCTACCCCTCATCTCTAACTCCCCTGGTCTAGGCATTGAGCAGACTCCAGCCCTCTGGTCCTCCTCCAGACCAAGGGTGGACTGACCATTTGGAAACTCGGGCACTGCCCGAGGGCCCAAGGTCAATAAGGGGCACCATGAGATGCCCCTGGTACCTTTTTCATAGGCTTTTTTGAGTTTGGGCAAGGACACAGGGGCCCCATGATCCCCTATTGCTCGGGGGCCCCATGAGTTGTCAGTCCACCCTTGCTCCAGACCCTGCACCTTCTGCTTCCCAGCTCCTCCTCCAACTTCTTTCCGCAAGTGTACTGTGATGTAGGGGAGGATGGGGTGTTCAGGACATCTAGTCTTAACTCAATTTCATGGCGGGCACATCAGCATTACAGTTGTTCTCAAAGGGCCAGTTGTACCTGTAAGACTAGATGTCCTGAACACCCCATCCTTCCTTACATCACAGTACACTTGCGGAAAGAAGTTGGAGGAGGAGCTGGGAAGCAGAAGGTGCAGGGTCTGGAGCAAGGGTGGACTGACAACTCATGGGGCCCCCCGGGCAATAGGGGATCATGGGGCCCATGTGTCCTTGCCAAACTCAAAAAAGCCTATGAAAAAGGTACCAGGGGCATCTCATGGGGCCCCCTACTGACCCCGGGCCCTCGGGCAGTGCCCGAGTTTCCAAATGGTCAGTCCGCCCCTGGTGACAACACTCTATTCCTGTCTCCCAATTGTGCTTCTGTGTTGTCACCCTGACACATATCTCTTTGATGTTGACTGCAAGTGGCCATGCTGACACATGGCCACACTGTAATTATGTATGGTACACAATACACAAAGCATGTGAATGTCATCCAGTTATGTCATACCAGGTCATTTGCCTGGAACACATAGCCCTGATATCACTGTTAATGCTTTCTATATATTTATAGAAATCTTCTTCTTTTTCATTCCAGTTGTTGGCTTGACCAGAGATCTGCTCCTCATGGCTTCATTGATTCCTTCGGCTTCCAGTCACCACAAATTACATTTCTTCATGATGCAAACGGCTTGACATGACGACCCCACTGTAACTGGTGCTTGGGCACAAGCCATCAATTTTCTACCAAGATGGAGAATGGCAGTAAAGTGGACAGCCCAACCAACATCTCCTTGGCCAACAACGATGTGGTGTTTAGTATGATTGAGTACAAGGCCATCTCCGTCTTCTCGGTTCTTCTCATTTGTGGTGTCGGCATAATAGGCAACATTATGGTAGTCTTGGTGGTTTTCACAACTCGTGATATGAGGACACCGACCAACTGCTATCTGGTCAGTTTGGCTGTAGCCGACTTAATGGTCCTGGTGGCGGCTGGTTTGCCCAATGTTACAGACAGTTTGGCTGGGACGTGGATATACGGTAATGCTGGCTGTCTCGGCATAACGTACTTTCAGTATTTGGGGATCAATGCTTCCTCCTGCTCAATCACAGCTTTCACAGTGGAGAGGTAGGTTTATGGTCATTGTGGTTGTGTACTATTCTGTTACCCCCTGGCAGGTGATGTGGGCTCTCCCTCCCAGGGAGCAGAGTCTAAGTACTAGTGGATCTTAACCAGAGCTCTAGATAATGTGGATGAGATGGAAACTCCAATGGACCATTGGTAGGCAGGGCTAAATTTTGAAATCATTGGACCCCATACAGTCTACCTGACAGGGCCCCCCTCCCTTGCCCCGATTGATGTCACTGTAGTGTCATTGCAGAGCAGTACATTGGAAAGTGCAATGAGCAGTATGTAGTACAGGGCATTAAGAACTGGCAATGCAAAACCATGGAGTGTATGGTACATAGCAATAGGAAAGTGCAGGGCAGTCAGTGAGCAGTATGTATTGGAAGGGCAGTCAGTGAGCAATATGTAGTGGCAGGACAGAAAGCAGTTGTAGTGGTAGTGGTGGTGGGGGGTGGGGGTGGTGGGGGAGGGGAGGTCAGTAAACAACATGTAGTGCCAAGGTAGTCGGCAAGCAGTATGTAATATCAGGGCAGTCAGTGGGCAGTATGTACTGTCAGGGCAGAGAGTAGTATGTAGTGGTGGGACAAAGAACAATATGTAGTGTTAGGTAAGTCAGTAAGCAGTATGTAGTGGCAGGGCACAGAGCTGTATGTAGTGGCAGGGGGTCAGTGTGCAGTATGTAGTGGCAGGGCAGTCAGTGAGCAGTATGAAGTGACAGGGTGATCAGTGTGCAGTAATGAAGTGGAAGGGAAGTCAAGGAGCAATATGTAGTGGAAGGGCAGTCAGTGAGCAGTATGGAGTGGCAGGGAAGTCAGTGAGAAGTAAGTAGTGGCAAAGCAGTCAGTATGTAGTATGTAGTGGCAGGGCAGTCAGTGAGCAGTATGAAGTGACAGAGTGATCAATGTGCAGTAATGAAGTGGAAGGGAAGTCAAGGAGCAATATGTATTGGCAAGGAGGTCAGTGAGCAGTATGGAGTGGCAGGGAAGTCAGTGAGCAGTATAGAGTGGCAGGGAAGTCAGTGAGCAGCATGGAGTGACAAGATGATCAGTGAGCAGTATGTAGTGGTAAGATGCTCAGCGAGCAGTGTGTACTGTCCTCACTAGGCCCCCCTACTGACCCGATGAGGATCCAGTCCCAGTACAGGAGGACTGCCTGCCTGTACCCCCCTATGGGCAGCCCAGCTGGCAGGGATTCTAGAAGTCTAGGCTGGGGTTCTATGAGTACCACTGGAAGTACTGGCTGGGATTCTGAAAGTCATGGCAAGGATTGTGCAAGTACTATTGGAAGTACGGGCAGTGTTTCTGGATGTCCAGGCAGGGATTCTGTGAGTAACATTGCAAGTACTGGCAGGGATTCTGCGAGTACCATTGGAAATAATGGCAGGGATTCCAGAAGACTTGTACCATGGGCAGTCATTTTGTATATAGCCATTGATTGCAATGGGCACTGAAGTCTTGTTCTTACCAGATGGGTTATTTGGCATTTTCCAGCACAGGCAAATTCATGGACATGGGAAAAATCCACATTTTTTTTCATTTGAACTGTTCCCACCAACGTGTTGCATTAGAATTTATTGGAAAAAGGACGATTTTTTTTGTGCACTGACTTGCATTCAAGGTAATCACGTGGTATACTAGAAAAACACAATGCAATGTCTCTTAGAAGGCAAGGCAATGCACAACAACACAACGCACATTAATGTGTCTTCAGCTCATCTGGTGTGGAGTAGCCTATCTAATCTAGTTGAATAGATAACATATGTGATGCTGTAATGGTTGTAAGATTACAAAACCATTTCCATTTGGCAGTTAGAATAAACAAAAGGCAAAATTAAACATTCTGAAATAATTTATGCATAGAAATAGCTACTTAACATTAACAGTCACTAGCGACAATCACAGGTAAAATCTGGCAGGCTGGTTATACCCAAGTTGATTGATCGATCAACTTGTGTACATTCAGCCTGCCCATACATAATTCGAATCTCGGCTGATTCGAACCCTCTATGGCCGGCTTAACCCTACATTGTATGAGTGATTTCACTGTGTGGAAGAGAGACTACTAAAACTTGGAAACTTCCATGGGACAGGAGAGTTCTTCCACTGTATATGGCTAGGACCTCACCAGCCATTGCAGACTGTGATCTGAACCAAAAGTAGCTTGCCCAAATTCATTAATGGCATTTAGCACAACAGCCAAGGCCTAGAGATGCTGAAGTTTTAGATTTCAGTACAGGGATTTCTGTAGTTCACATTTACCATAGCTTTAAGTTTTAAGTAGGGGCGGACTGACAACTCATGGGGCCCCCAGGCAATAGGGATCATGGGGCCCCTGTGTCCTTGCCCACATTCAAAAAAGCCCATAAAAAAGGTAACAGAGGCATTTCATGGGGCCCCCTACTGGCCCCGGGCCCTCGGGCAGGGCCCGAGTGCTTGAATGGTCAGTCCGCCCCTGGTTTTAAGGTAAGATTTCTGATGACATTTGTTTGGGATAAAGTTATTTTTTCATGAATTTCTGTTGCATTGTCCTTATCTCCTAAATGTTTACATTACAATGGTGTTGTTGGGCTATAAATGTAACTTCAATGGATATCTCTTGCTGGGTCATTTATGAGGAAACAAAGCATAACATTGAACATTTGAGACATATATATTAGTTCACCAATTATCTTCTTTCTCTAACACCACCAAATCCCATATCTATGCAACCTAGATTGAGTGCAAACTCTTTTTTTCTACATTCATCTAAGTCAGTCCATCTGTTAAGATGAATCGGGTTCAGAAGAAGTTCAATACATCCTTTAATTAGGATGCAATAGGCACTTAGCTTTAAAGCCTGTGGCATCGATCCAAGAGTTGGTGGTAGTTAAAGAGAATCTAAAACCAATATATTTTTAATTTTGGATGGAGTAGGAAAGGGTTAGGCCCCCTGTTTTCATTGAAATAATTATGAGGTTAAAACTGAAGATTATGGGGTTGGATTGGGTTTAAGGGCAGCCGTTTCATTAGGTTGAGGTTAATGGTTAAAGCAGCCTTCCTGAACCTTTTTACCTTTGGGTAACCAATGAAATTATTTTTAGGTCTCAGGAACCCCTGAAACCAATTCTTTGGGAGTTAGGCAGAAGTACATCTCATACATTGATTCCAGGGGAAAAAAATCCTCCCTTACAGTGGTGGTCAGAAGGCCACCCTTGCAGACAGCTAATATGATCATTGGTGTACTGCAGCTGGCTTGACAAACAGCATTGGCCCCAGAACTATCCAAGCACCCTCAAATGGGAGGTCAATCAGCCAGAGCTCAAGGAACCCCTAGCAACCTTTGAAGGAATCTTAGGACTCCATGAAACCATGGTTGAGAATGGTTGGTTTAAAGTGCATCTATAGATAAAACAGTTTTTAGTGTTTCGTTGCTTGAGGCTTGCACTGGATGTCCAAAGTGGTCTTGTTTCCAACAAGCAATATACAAATGGTGCTGTTGAAATCCAAAGGTTTATTCCAAAAAAGATACAGCCAGCTGTTGATGAGTGTGCTCACCTAACTGCAGCACTGAATATGCACTAACATTTGGGGACTACAGTATCTTCTCAAGACTCTATAGATCAAGCCCTGATGAAGAAGGTCTTCTTGAGAACCCTACACATGTTGGCTTAATATACTGATCTCACTTGATCCTTTTAGTGAAATAAAGACTTTTGGATGTTGACCTTCTGGTGCTCCTGTTTTTTCCTCTTTTTTGGGTTTTCATTGTATTCTGTGTTCCCTTGGAGATTCAGCTATCTTTTGTCACCAGGACTGAAAGTGAGGGAAAATATGACATTCTGAGTTGTTATGAGATCAAGAATATAGATGGGAAATATCCTAAAAGTGACACTGACTTTGTAGAGATCTCCTTTCATGTCCTGTTAAGATTTGAGAATGGACTATCACCCCAATGGGACAAAATTATAAGAAAAAAAGGTTTCAGGAGTTTTAGCCATTCACTACTTTATCCAAAACTAAAAAAAATGCTTTACATATACTTGAACTGGCTGCAAACTTGAGTTCCTGAGCCATTCTCTTCAGTAGCCTGGAAGAGGTCATGGGAAGGTTCACTATAAGACCCCTTTCACACGAGCAGACTGATTGGGTCCGCCTGTCCCTTTTTTCAAGTGGACCCGATCGGATGCTCCATTACACTCTATGGAGCGACTGGTGCAAATGGACATGTGCCCTTTTACACCAGCCTGCATCTGATCCTGTCCGTTAAAAACAGACGGATGGGGATCCGTTCCCCAACCATCTAGCTGATCGGATCAGATGGCAGTTGGATGGAAATGAACAGGTGGTCAGTTTCCATTTGACAACCCATAGAGGACAGCGGGCTGTGTCCATGTCTATCCTGCATAAATGGAGCGGACACGGTCCAGTCTTTCTTTTGGATCTGCTGACAGGCTTGCACCATGTGAACCTAACCAATTTACCTTAGAAGGTTCTTGACACTAATCACAGTAAGCATGTGCAGTCTATCAGGAACGGTACTGGAGCTGGACGGGAAGTCAAAGGAAACTTGGTTTTTCTATAATTCCTCGGTTACCTGGAGCAGTGTTCTGGTTGGCTATGCTGTGTCCAGATAACACTGGACGCCATCTTGGGTCACACAGTCTTTTTAAGTCCCTGCTCCCAGGTTTTGGAGTGCATTTTGTGAAGTGGCTAGTGTAGGGAGAGCATACCCATCTGTCACAGCACTAGCATTAGGGAAAGGTTCCGGAGGAGAAGGGATAGCTCAGGGCCTACGGCTGCGCTTTCACAAGCTCCCTTTTGGGTTGGAACTGGCCAGGCCATATTCCACCTCCCTTGTCAAGTGCTGTCTTCAGTTCAGGCCTACTACCACTGACTGTCCAATACATTTGCTTTAAGTTCCCAGTCAGGTGAGCTCCCCCGCAGGGTTGTTGTTCTGGTTACAAGTTCTTCAGTGCATCGGTTACTGCACTCCGGGCCTCTGGGTGTTTGCTGCCACCGCAC